TATTTTTTGGATTTATCTATCTCTATACCTCAGTTCCCCCCAGTGTGATAGTGATGATTTTAAAATGTGACCAAACGCAAGTTCCGACTCCACGATCGTGCTACTCACAGACACTGCACATCAAACAGCATCTAGTCGTCTTTTCCTATGTTAGCGATGATCAGAACATCTATATTTTTCTGCTTAGGGTACTCTGAATCGGTAGAAAACACGGTCGAAACGAGAGCCAATAGTTTAGTCCACTCCCTGACGCTTATATTCATACCAGATCAACAAAATTATTCTGTTATCTGCCTGATGGTACCTCGCACACGTGGATGTCAAAGTTAGTGTAATTTAAGTTTTGTCACGACATGATAATTCCTACATTCAATGTGTCAGTAAAGCTTCCTCACCAGTTTTTATCTTTTTCAAAGTTTCAGGGTTCTCTAGGATAGGTCGTTATGAAGATCATTGTCTTTTACTGAATGTCGGGACAATTTAGCAGAACTAAGTTACTGGGAATCGTCCAAGGACGTCATGTTAAACAAGATACCTACGACAACATAGCTGTTCAAGGAAAATGTTTTCCAGCGAATTTTGAGTTGCCGACCAGTTGTCAAGAATCTCGCTGGGAGTACGTAAAATTATGGTACGGATCAGTGTTGACTGAACTTATATCCGCTACCAAAATAATAGGCCCAATACCGAAACTATTGATTTGTCATATCATCGTATATACTAAATCGGCAGATTGGATGCGACTAGACGACTCGGACTTCGCAGATGACCTGGTCCTTCTATTCCGTACACACAAACAAATGCAGATGAAGACAACAAGTGTAGCAGCAGCCTCTGCATCAGTGGGCCTCAACATAAACATGAAAAATAGCAAGATCCTCAAATACAACAGAGCGAATACAAACCCTATCACACGTGATAGATGGGTTCGCGTAAGACCACGTTAAGATAAACAGACCGCTTAGCGTATGTAGGGATTGGTTTCCTACATGCTGCCTGTAAGTCGTGTAATCGACCGTTAGGATTTTCTGGAAGGACACCAACCCCTGCGTTAGTGTCGACGAGGTAGCGGACTTTCTTAATCACATCAGTGATGTATGACAGACGACTATATCCACTGGTTATGGCTGCTGTTAGCGCGTCCCATCTGGGAAGTTTCCCGAAACACTTTTCATGTCTGTTGGTTCAAGGCCCGGGGAACCGCAGGGTTTTCTACGATTTCGAGAACATTTTCTTCACTGATTATGATGCCAGCACCAATCAGGGTCATCTTTCTCTCTTGACCTAAAGACAGATCATTTTCGTGAAATACTCCTTCGAGGGGTTTGAGATCGTCCACGGTCGTGACGAACACTAAGGTCACACTCCAAAGTTTGACAGAGTTCTGTAGCGTCATTCTGTTTCGTTTGAGGCTTTTCGTCAGCTGAATGAACATTAGTGTTCGAAGTTCTGGTGATCTCCGTATTTCGGTCGGCAGATGCGGCCGGATTGTCTATAGCGTTGTTTTTAAATGAGACAAGAACTTCCTGCACCTGTTGGGGAAGTTTAGACAAGAAATGTTGTCTAAACAGGCTTTCGCCAAGGGCCCATTGACCAATGACCTCTCTCGTTCATAATGCCACATCTGTTGTTGAGCCAGGTTATATGTCGATGTTAATGAGGAGCTGGTCCAACACTTGCCGACCGGTTAAATCTAGGTGTCAAAGAAAAGCTCTTTTTAAAGTTTCGCACGATTCCGTGACATCACCAGTAAACATACTAGGTGTGATGTGCCTTTTGAATTCGCGTGGTATTGCCTTCACTACTGCGAGGAATTTTGCGCGTGGATTGGTCACACTGTGTTCGTGAAAGTCAGCTTCTGTGCAGCGGAACCGGGCGTCGATATGGTTATAACAGAATGGCATTAGGTGAAATGAGGGTGGTGTGAGAGTTTTGGTCTTAGATAATTTGGGAGTTTGTTCGGTCATGATGAATATAAAGTGGAGCAAAGAATGAGGAAACAAGATATCCAAAAAATACCAAAAAAATATCACAAAATGTAAAAATAAAAGTAAAAATTGGTAAACAAAGCTTCAGAAGGGAACAGACTCACAATTTACATATAGGTGTGCCAGATCACGTCGGGTTCACTACTGAAGATGCCACAAGTGTTCGGAGCTTGGCAGAACCTTATTTGTAATATATTTTATAGTCGAAACGTGCCAACGCATTGAAATCAGAAGCGAAGTGGTTCGAAGGTATGCTTGATAGAATATCGATATACCGAGAAGTGACTAACCTAAGCTGACCAGCTGTTGTAGCAGAAGCGAATCACACAGTACCCACCCTTGATCAGGTGAGGATGCTTCAACGAGTGCCTTTAGCTAGATGAATCAAGTAAAACTAATGCGATCAGAACCAAGTGTTGAAAATTTACAGAGCTATTGATTTTAGGGACTCATTTACCGCTGCATGCTGGTAGGTTTAGTGAAACGAGGTATTAAAATGTGATGTGGCATTATGCTTTCCGGATCTTGCACTCTACGTGGCGTTCTATGCTTTATAGTTATGTCTTTAAATTTCAGGACGAAAAAGCTTACGCAAGTATTGTGCATGAGTAGCTACAGATGAAGCAGTTATCGCGGATGTACATAGTCTCGTACATCGTGTAAGCGACTTTGAGAGGCTGACTCTGGTGATACGTTGAAGATTATTTCTGTGCAGAATAATAAATTTCGAGAAAATAGCTTACTATAAAACTCATTGGGACTTGTAAGCGCAGTTGAAAAGTGAAAACGATCAGTGATTGATAGCTAACCTGTCAGTGCATGAACAGAAATAGTCCTATGCTTACATGCTGTAATATTTCTGTTGGTTTATACCCACGGTAATCTTCCACTTCAATTAATGTCCGGGTACTTTATTTATGGGTTCCTGCCAGAAATGTTGTCAAGAATAACACATTGCCTCCTATATAGAAGGGCTAATGAATTGGTAATCTTTTTTCCTTGTAAAGAGTTTATCCCACTCAATCTTCAGATCAGTAGGAAAACAGTTGATCTCAACCCATACGTAGGCCATGAGCGATCCGATGTCAGGTGAAGTTTCATTTCTTATTATATATATCCATAATGTATCAGTACCAAAGTGTCGGGTATCAATGAAGTAAAAAAGAGGTAATTCATTAATAGTAACTTTTAAGTCAACAGTATGGAGTTCATTCACAGAATTATGATGGATTGAAACAAATAAGCTGACTAGCGTAAAACGAACAGTTACGACAATATCCATTTACTTGAAAGACTCACTTAGCAATGATCTGACCACGAGCATGTGGGAGCTTACATGTATAAAACCACCACTCAAAACAACTAATAAGAGTGCAGGTATATATCTCGCGCAATTTACAATTGATGACGGTATAGCTGAATAAATTGTGATCCCAGTTTCCGACCTAGATTGTCATAATCTGAGGCTTGTTATTTCTGGTTGTTTTTTATTGATAATTTTTATAAATGTAAGTGTACTGTATGCACATAATTGGTCTTCGACCTTCTTTTTCTTGTGTTTTTTTCTAACCGTCATTAATGATTGGGGGATTACTCTACTTTCCACGTTCCCCTAGTACACTAAGTACCTTCTGGCTAGATGCAAAACTCTATGATGGCATGTAGTTTTCTGGTAATATTTGGTCCTCAGTATCTATGTTATGTTGGTGAGCTCGAGCTCACCACTATTCATATATCCCGAACTCCGAATTTCGGGGAAGCCGCTATAGTAAACTTCGAGGAAATTTAGGGGAAATGACACTAAAACTCGAAATTTTCCCCAGACCTGGGGAAATTCCCCAATATTTCCCCCTTTAACCTTGGTGAAGGTCATTTGACTTAGGAAGTTTCCCCAAACTTGGGAGATTGGGATATCATTAACTACTTGTTGTTTAATCAATGCTCGCATAGTTGCGGGTTAGAACCGCACCTCGAATACATCGTTGTAGGATAGTTAACAGTAAATATTATCGTAAAACAACAAACTTTGACCGCGATCAGACCTAAGTTCACTGACCCTTCGATAGTAATATTACTAGGTTTATATCAACCTGTCCTAGCGGCAAGTTAAGCAAATGGTCATGCTTTTAGGATCTCATTACCATACATGTATGTGGAAAAAAAGGGACTGAAAGAACCAAACATGTTAATTGGGTACCCACGAATTTAGTCATCTACTGAATGAGGTCTAACAGTTCGTTCCAAAAACTCTGCATAGACGTGATATCGTTTTTGTTCGTATGACGGCGGTTGGTATCCATCATGGTTAGCGGTACACAATTGACTTCAGATACCAGCCCCAATCATGTTATTAAGTGAAATATTTTAAAATTTAGGTTTGTTTGGATAATCGAATAATAAACGCTATTGCTAAAGCATCTTGATCAAGCTACATAACCTAGACTTGTATGACAACGAATCTTAGACTGCGTCTTTTAACAGGGAGTCAAGAAATAGACCACAACGGAAACACATATAACTGATAACTCCACATAATAAGGAAATTATAGAACAACCAGCTTGTCTGAATGTGAACAAAGTGGAAATATGCTACTGCTGAGGGTTCTCATCTTAGAGCGATCGGTCTTAACAGCCATTGTTTACAGATGCTCATACCAACATTAAGCGGTACTCTGCAATATAATGGTGGAGAGTACATTCTTAATTACGGATTTCAATCAACTGCGTAAATATAAATCGAGTAGCCTTTCCGTTATAAAATTAAAGCAGATATGTTTCATATAACAAGTGCATTTGACATACAGCCTCATTACTTGTGGCTCAATTTGTCAGACTGATGTAAGTGAAGTAAGGTAACAACCCACCTGGTGGTTGAAATTTGGACGCTTTTCTTACTAAACTACCTCTTAATCAAGGTCCTTTTATGAATAAAAAACCTACATCACATTGATATTATTCGTCGATTCGACTGACGCATGCTTCGATTTTTTTAGGGTTTAAAAAAATCAAGGGATGTCAAGTTAGTTACCAAATATATCGCAACATGTTCCCGATAGATTCTTGCCAAAAAAGATATCGTCGAATACTTCAACGCAAAAAAGAAAGGCGAAAACAGGAAAAAGTTCGCAGGAAGATAGCTTCGCGCAATAAAATAAGGGAAGATATAGAACTAAACCGTTATCACAGCAAAAAGTTCCTGAAAAAGGAGGTCTCCAACAGATTGCAGATCGCACTGTATGAAGGAATAAGGATCTACATAGATTGTTCTTATGAAGCTCTTATGTCTCCTAAAGTTCGTGTTGACGCGGAAAACTATCACTTTGTAGGAATGTAATAAATTCGCTCAACAACTATGTCGTCTTTATGGCGCAAACAAAAAAGCAACGAAGCCCTTAAGCATCAACCTTGTGAATTTTTCACAACATGGACCTTTGTTCCATGCTTGCCAGTCCAAATGTGATGGATTCCTAAAGTATAAGGTCAGTGTCTTGTAAATGTAACAGTTTTCGTATTCTCCACCTCTTAATCTTTGTGTTGGGAAAAGCTTATTCTTGAAAATGCGTCGATTGGATCTAGTGTCATTTAGATTTTTTAAAAATTCTTATGTTGAAAATTGACACAACTCCCGTTAGATTTGTGTTGACTAGATGATCAGTAGCTAAGATTTCATACACAGCCTTTTGATGTGTTGCTTGTGTCTCTATTTTCTAACGTTAGTTACGTTCCTCAGGGTCCAATATCGTTCAGCGACGATATTATATTGTTATACGTTATAAAAGGTTTTGTTGAAAATGCTAAACGATAGCTGATTCCCTCGAGGGCCACTACTTATAAACTACTGGATGAAATTGGGCCTGTTTATTGATAAAGGGAAAGTAAGATTTTGGGACACAAAGCCAGCTATCTTACGAACATCAAGGAATTTAAGCATTACTAACATCTTACAGTTGGGGGAATAATGTCCGGGAACTGACACGAAATTTTGTCGAATTTTCAACACCAAAGTACGCAAGAAGGTCAATTACATAATAATGACACATTCATGTAGGTAGGGACCTACGAGTAAATCGTGAATATGTCTAGACCTAGTCTCTCCATACACACCATGGATTTTACATTTCGCTGAATTTAACTGTTGTGCGATGAATCCTGAGAGGGTTAGTGGTACTGCTGCCTTATTGCTCAGATAGGGGGTGTATCAACCCGACTAGTTGAGGTAGTGAACCACAGCTTCGTAATACGCTATTAAGCATGCTATAGATGGTCTAGAATTTCATAATTGATGTTTTGAAGTAGGTTTATGTCTGTTTACCCATCAACCCTATGCTCCATCGTTGTTTCAAAAACCACTGAAACAACAGCATTTGCATAAAATATAATATAGAACATAATCCTATTTGTAGTGCGCGATCAGCTGTTGTTTACCAATGATGTAACTCCACTATCTCACTGGCCTGGTAAATGGGCGTATGTACGTGTGCACTTCTATCTTCGTGACAGAAACGATTTATATCCGGATGTACAGTTTTTGTATTATTTCGCGTTATTACAAAGTGCTATTTAACTGTCTCATAGATTGGATTGTACTCTGAAACACCATCAAGCATCACGCCAGAAAATATAGAAATCGTGTACCTCAGTCCGGACGCAAAGGAACCATTGATATCTATATCGGAAAATTGTGCGTACGTCCTAGGATGTCTTGTGGATGAGCATATATTAAAGGTAATGCTGTATAGTAGAAAACTTATAGATTTGCTAACAGTAGTTATAATTTTTTGTAGTAAGTATATCCAAATCAAATCGTCAGATATACTACCATCAACTGTTCGCTCAGTTAGCCCAATGTACAGAAGTAAATAGACGAGTTAGAAGGAAAAACTAGACATAAAATAAGAAAATGTTTAAGATTTGGATAACAGTGTTTAGTTTTGTTGTTTGAAACATCTACTGTTGCTATTTATCGAGTCACTGACTTTTCATATGCACTCCTGGTTTGATGCTTAATTTTACCTACAATGCAATGATTGTGTGATTATTATGTTTATTCACCCATTCTCCTTACACTCCTATAAAGGTTAGAAAGAATATACAGTTCTGATTAGCACTTATGGTCATTTTATTAGGGAAAATATTCATAAACCTTCGTAAGGCGTTGGTTTCTTCTGTTCCAAAATTTAACGGTAGGCCAAAACCATAATTGACTCGCTAAAAAATAAGTGGCTACCAAAAAGAAGTCAATATGCCCTACAAACTGTGACAGATTCAGAGGACTTCAAATTCCTAAACCTCAATTGCTTTCTTTCAAAATATTGAAAAGCAAAATTGTAGCAGGTTTTGCTTTTTTAGACAACGGTGGTGACGAAAGTAGATGAGAGGTCAAGTAGCTGAATCCACTCATATACAATCAGCGACTGTTAGCACTCGTGTTAAATATCAGAAAACATGGCTACTCCGCGATGTAGATTAGCACTGTATATGTACATATATAAAATATTTGACACTAATAGCTTTTTTCATTCTGACAGTTTAATATTGATATACTTGTCCTATTAGTATTTTTGTTAACCACCGACATCTCCTACCTCGTCTTTCTTATAAATGTTAGACCGTCATTACTTCTTATTGTAATTTTCCTGATCCCGAACGACTGTTAGTCTTAGTTTCTGATTTGTACCTACCTCAACTTATTATCCTACGGTCAATCACAATAACTACTATGCTCCGAAAGACTTCGCTAGGGACTCAATGTATTCATTTTCTATTAATAAAGTGATAGACAGTTGATATGAGGTTTGGTTTTCAAATGTCGCAAGTATAAACTGCACCTATTGTTTCTACTAAAATGGATACTGATCGTTCATATTTCGACGCTGTTATTTAAACAGATAAATACTGCACGCAAGAAAAGTTGTTTAGAACAAATATGAAAGTAAATATGAATTGTAATCAAATTCATTTCACTATTTTCCAGGTTGCGTCTATTGTTATACTACTAATAATAATTGTAATCAGGTCTCATCCTTATTTTGCAACTCACTATACGTTAACTTTTATTCTTTCTAGGGACGAAGCCGACAAGAAGCTGAGAATCAGGGTTACCGTGCCGTGCGACTCCCAATTGAAGAGTTTACATCTGGAAAAATATCTAACCCTGTGTTAGCGATAAATCATGTCGTCGATATAATGTTAGCATACATGGCAAACGGTGGCGACTGGAAGGAGGCTTTATATTCTAAATTGCCCGAACGATTTTTGAGATAATACATATATATGTGAAATTTTGTTATAACTTATGAAGAAATACAAGAAGTTCTATAATAAAAAAACCATGTGACTTCGGAAACTGAATTACACGGGAGTTAGCGACTTGATTTAGCACGAAACGGTCTTCAAGTTATTTATAATTGTTAGGAAATCACCGCATGTAGGACCTAAGAGGCAAGATTAGATTAAATATTGTAACTTACGGTAATTTAGTACTGATAAAAATCCGTAAGGTAAGCAACGATACTAAGATGCATCCGATTCCTAGTGCCATCAGTAATATACGGTTTAACTTCGTGACCTTGGCCTCATTGACTTTATCCATTACGATAAATCCGAAGCTCCCCATAACAAACATAAAACTGGCTGCAAGTCCTTCGAGTATGTATTGACTGTTTAGGCGCCAAACCATGATAGCTACCTAAGTCTCATTGAAAAAATGTTGAATATGACTTACCGGTTTTTGATTGCCCCTGGAGTCCGTTTCCGTCCCCATGCTTGGCGGTCCAACGATCATATCGTAAATGACCCCTATATGGCGAAATAACCATGCACATAAGCACAACAATGTACGATCAACCAGTTCTTAATCGACTTTTAACTTTAATGCTTGCATTTCACAGTATGAAATTAAGGCATAAAAATATCGTGATATAAAAAAATGGGCAGAAACTACCTATATATTTGTTAGATCACTTTGCTAGTTATTTCCGGGGGTGGCCCACACTTTGCGGGGAAAAGTTATTTGTCGGGCATTAGAACTTATACTTGAGAGTTGTTTACACTTACTAATAAGCCAACATTTGTACCTTCTTCGTCACATAATACGAAAGGTATACATTAAGAAGCGACACATCTCGGGAAGGGATATTCGTACGACTAACAAGTGCTTAGTCGCATTTTGGTAGTCGAATCTCTGGTTGAAATGAAGTTTCAATCCGTTGGTGTTAAAACCTGTGAATATAGATAGCTTCTAGGGGAACGGGATGCACAGAAGTCGTCTGGCACTAACCCACATCTACACACTAACTTTCGCCTTAGTTTTGGTTGGGAAAAGACCTTGTGAAAGTCACTTGCCTGATTGGAATTTGCGACAGACAACCCTCTGTAAAATCATGCATTTTAAACCAAGGGTACGGAAAGAGAGTAGCAGTCGCAATAATAACTTGACAGCATACTTCATGACCCGAATCGCTACATTTTTGTGGTGCAGATAATGCTACTTGGCTTCGTAAAAAGAACTGCAGCTCACACATGGAATATGGTTGAAGATCAACCGCCGTCTTACAGAGTGCACAGGAACCTTGAAATGACCGTTAGGGTATTTTACGTGAGCTGTAGCTATCAAAGGCGATATCTTCAAATGTAAAAACAGACCTCAATAATTTAGTGATTATTGATAATCCAATGCGCCCGAAGTACCCTGTAAAGGACGTCTCAAGTTATGAACCATATCCATGGTAAGTACTAGTAGTACATTTGAATTAGGTTAAATACTACAATGAATTGAATATGCAATACTTCATTTTAGCAGTTGGAATGTTTCATATTATACAAGTGCATTATACAATTTTTATCCATATCTTATATCGGGGAGACAGTACTGCTTCATCATTAGTGGAAGACGACTTTGGTAAGGCTCAAGTGTTCTCGAACTACTTTAGCAACGTATATACCATAGAAGCGCCCTTCCCGTCAGCGTATACAGATCCCCCATACATACATTGGATAGCGTGACCATTAAAGAACTCGATGTCTTTGGTCTGCTAAATAAGCTTGACATAGGTAAATCCACGGGGCCCGATGAATTACATCCTAGGCTACTGAAGGAATTATCTAACTTCGTTGCAAGCCCTTTAAGTACATGCTTTAACCTATCCGTTACGCAGGGTCGTTTACCAAAAGACTGGATAAACGCCATAGTAAGTCCTGTCTTCAAAACAGGTACGAAACACAAACCTGAGAACTACCGCCCCGTTAACCTAACTAGTGTGGTTGTTAAAATCTTAGAAAAGATTATTCGGAAGGAGCTGTTTAAGTATCTCGATAAAAACCGGATCCTCTCGGAGAAGCAGCACAGCTTCAGAATAGGTTATTCCTGTTTCACTAACTTATTACTGGCTCGTGAAAGTTGGTGCGCTCTTAAGGACCAGAAGCTACCTGTAGACGTCGCCTTCATTGATTTCAGTAAAGCTTTTGACAAAGTTCCGCACAACCGGCTGTTATATAAGTTTAGAAAAGTCGGGATTGGAGGCAATTTATTGATGTGGATAAAAGACTTTTTAGTTGGGCGTCAACAAAGAGTAAGGGTGAACTCAAAGTTATCTAGCTGGGAAACTGTGCTTAGTGGAGTGCCCCAGGGTACAGTTTTGGGGCCAGTGCTATTCCTCTTTTATGTAAATGACCTTCCTTGTCTCCTATCATCATCGGTCTTGCTATATGCTGACGATGTCAAGATATGGAGAACGATACGATGTAAGAGTGATAGCTTAGAACTTCAAAATGACCTGAAGAAGTTATCTGAATGGTCTCAGACATGGGAGTTGCCGATAAATACTTCCAAGTGTGTTGTGATGCATATCGGTCATCAAGGCACAGATACATACACGACGAATAACACTGAGCTACCTGTCGTCCAGACATATAATGACTTAGGAGTTATCGTTAGTCAAGACTTAAAGACTACTGCACATTGCCGTGCAATAGCCGCCAAAGGTTTTAGAACCTTATGGTCAGTACGTAGAGCTTTAAGTCATGTCGACGCCAAAACGTTTTTGACTTTGTATACAGTGTTCGTTCGTCCTAAACTTCAGTACTGCATACAAGCGGCTAGCCCCTACTTAAAAAAGATAGTGAGCTTCTGGAAAAGGTTCAGAGAACGCCGACTAAGTTGATTCCCGGAATAGCGAAGCTTCCGTATGAATCTCGACTAGTCAAGCTGAACCTTTTCCTGTTGTCATATCGCAGAACTAGAGGCGACTTGATTACAGTTTTCAAATTGCTTAGTGCCAAATTTGCACCTCGTTTTTCTTGTCTTCCAAAACAGAGAATTTACAAGGACACTCCAAAAAAGTTCATAAGCCGAGAACAATTTACTTGCCAGCTGACTATTGACTTCCCCATCGAATCATCGAGTGGAATTCGCTACCTCAGCACGTGGTTGAGGCTCCATCCGTCGACTCTTTCAAAAGAAAGTTGGATCAACTGAGAGACCACCATTGCCAGGACTAACATAGGCCATCGAGCCTCCTGTCCTTCCCAAACTGAAACTGAAAGTGTCTTGAAGAATACCGGTAAAAGTCGGGGTGTTAATAAAACCGTCAAATGCCCTGTAAATAACAGCTGCCACACAATAAAAACTTCACTAGCACTTAAAGCAATAAATGTGACCCCAATAAAAGTAAAAAAAAACCCTTAACAATCATAAATATGAGGACACAAGTGCAAATCAGATCTTACCACCTGTGACTAAAAAGTAACTAAGGATGAGAACGGAAAAGAAAACCATTGGAGACGGCCATGTTATGAAACTAGGTTTCTTTATTTTTAGTCTAGGGCACTCAACTATTGCAAATAGTGGTGCAAGGACACAATCCATTTTCGTCTGTAACGCAAGGTTTTGAAAATGCTGACGTCGATAAAAGCAAGTTGGTTTAAGGAAAATGAAACATATACGTTTCTAGTCCTGGCAAACCATAGTCTACAATATGATAACTGAGGTCTAATACGTTCTAAAGTCACTTAAATTTTGAGACATAGTGTCTGTTCTGGAAAAGATTTTTTAAGCCCAATCCATTACATGTTGTCATTCAAATGGTCGTGGACGGAATAGAAGAAGCTTTTGCTCAACGGGCTTCTGTGTCTAGTAGCAGTGGATCACCAATACCTCCAGGCAGGAATCTAGGTATATTAACAATAAAAGAGGAAAAAAGAATTGGTAAATCATAATGAGATGTTATGCTTAGGTCACGTTGCCTCTTAAAGGACTCATGGGAAGTCGCTTGGATTACCTCAGCCCGCAGCACCTTACAACTCTTAAGGAGTAGGAGTTGTGTCTAAAGTCCGTTCTGCTGTGCTGTGTCTCTAGTTTCTGGATGTTACCTCTTAGGTTTGTGTTGGAGCTAAACTTAATTAGGTGTTTAAGGGGATGTTTAGAAGTGTTAAGGATACTGTAAGCTAATAAAAGTTCACCTCTAAGATTCCTATACTTTAATAGGTTAAGGTCAAGTGATTGGAGACGCTTTTCATAGGGTTTGAATCTGTGTCCCCGAACTGATTTCGTTGCTCGCCGTTGGACACGCTCCAGAGTGTCCTTATCCTTTTGTAGTGAGGGAGGAAACACTATGTGTCCGTGCTCTAAATGTAGACGAATGGAACTGTTAAAGATTATGCGGAACGTTCTTCCGCCAAACTGGCCGAAAATGCGCCTCAATGTAACCACTGCAAGGTTCGCTCGAAAAGCATTTTTGTCACAGTTAGCGTAAGACTTTAAATCGTAGGATGCCAGGACTACTAAATCTTTTTCGACTCAGGGCACTACCAGAGAGGAGTTCCTTAATTTGTAACTGTAGTCTGCAACATGTCGCAGATGGACTACTTTGTATATTGAAGTGTTAAGGGTAAGTCCGTTATCGTCTACCCAACTTTAAAGTCGAGTCAGATCCTCCTGAAGTGCCAGTATATCCTCACGCTTGCGTATATATTTCCAAAGTTTCATGTCATCAGCAAAAAGCAGTAAGTCTAACGATACTTGTTGTGGAAGATCATTATTGCAAATCAAGAAGAGAAGGGGTCCTAGTACTGAGCCCTTGGGGACCCCCCTAGAACATTCCGCAGAGAAAAAGTGAAGGTAATCCTAACCTTAAAATGTCAACTTTTTAGATATGAGTCAGTCGATTGGAGGTAATCTGTCAGCCAATCGTTTCAACTTATTGATAAGACATATATGGTTGACCCTATCAAAAGCCTTTGAGAAATCAGGGTAAAAGGTAATGGCCATCCCCTTGTCATCAAGGATGCTTGTCCATCTGTCCACTGCAGTCAGCAAGTTGGTTATACAAGAGTGACCCTTCCTGAAACCATACTGTTGGGGTGAGAAGAAATTCAAGGATAGTAAATAGTCATGTATACCATCGCATATCAGGGACTCCATAATTTTTGTAGGTATAGAGAGAAGAGCCACCGGCCGATAACTTGAAGGTTCATTGCGTCGACCTCCTTTGAAAATTGGTGTGATGTGAGCCACCTTCCAATTTTCCGGTAGTTTTCCTCAGCTTAGTGAGAGTGAGAAGATCATGCCAAGCAGCGTTGCCAGGATTGAGGCAGCTTCCCTCAGTATGGCAGAATGGACCATATCCGGGCCAGGAGAAGTGTCAATTCTCAAGTGCTGCAATTTCCGGAACACCAATTCAGCGCTTAGGTTCACTTCGGAAAGTCCTATGGAATTGCAGATGAAACTGTCATCAGTAAAGTTGATGTCGGTTAGTTGAAATATCTGAGAGTAATGTTTAGCCAGAAGATTAGCGGCGTCGCCGTTGGTCGTGGCGTTAAGACCTAGCAGTTGGGAAACTCCAGTTTTGGCTTGACGAAGAGAGGCTGCATAACGGAATAAGCCTTTCGGATTAGAGACAAATTTGTCCATAAGCTTTGTCTGGTACTGAAGCCTGTCATCTCTTATAACCTTCATGCATATGTTCCTTATATGTTTGTATTGCTTGTGTGCGACGTTATTATCAGTTCGTTTGTATTCTGCACAGCAGTGCCTTTTTCGGCTTAGGAAACGAAATGTGAGGTTCTTGATGATTGTAGGCTGCTTGTAGCTTTTGGGGACCGTTTGAGGAACCGACTACTTTGTTGCACGTAAGAGCGTGTGCAATAAGAAATCCCAGTGAGCATTCACATCAAGTTGAGGATGAACATTCCAATCTACCTGATGTAGATAGTTCTGTAGAGTTGACACCTTCAACCATTTGAAATTCCAGCGCATGTTGTTGGTGGGATATCTCAGCTCAGTTTTGCTGACAAAAGTGAAGGCAATAACGGCGTGATCGCTGTTCTCAGGGGAGCCAGGACTGAGAAGTTGTCAACTAGAAATTCTTCGTTTGTAAATACCAAGTCTAAGCGCGACGGTATCCGACTGTTTCTCCAACGAGTTTCCGACTTCACGTTTTCGAATAATCCCAGATCCTCAATGAGGTTGAAGAACCGAGCTCCAGTTGAGTTTTCACTTCCAATATACGTATATTCCGCGAAGTTGACTCTAGGGAGATTGAAGTCCCCTAGAATCTGTACATGAGTGAATCCGAGACGCATGGAGCGGGATAATCTTTACAGCACACGATTGTTGTACTGGGTGTCAGCAGTGGGCTTCCTATAGATGATCTCAACTAGGCACCTCGAAGTGGTAGACAATCTCACTGAGCATCATACGGGTTCATCATGATTGATAAACTCTTGGTTGTGTACTTGGTGAACTTCCAGGCAGGATAGTATGTATAAGGCTACTCCACCCCCATTTCCTGTTTTTCTGTCGTTGCGAAACAAAGACATCTCACGTATTGGTAGCTCCTGGTTCGAGAACTGAGAAGATATCCAAGTTTCATATATTTTTATCAGATTATCATTATTAGCATTGCAAAGTTCACGTGGCTCATTCATTTTATTTGGAAGACTAATGTCGTTCATGTATAAGTAGTTTATACTTTCAACTTGAGACGTATGAGCTTCCCCATTTTTGTCTGTATGAGCCTTACGTGAACGGACAGGTAACCTACCTATATAAGGTTCGCCGATTCGGTAGGCCCTGTCCTTGACACGTTTTTTAATGGTCAGGACAGTCCACGGTTGGAACGGTCAGCTCCAAGTTGCCTTTTTGCTTGATCCTGGCGTCATTTGGCCTATTCGGATGCATACTTATTTCAGTTGGCAACCGACGTCTGTCGGTGTGAAATGCTCCCAGAGTTGCAGCCGCCTTATGGGAAGCTGGGAAAGTTATTTTCATTATCCGGGGTCTAGAATCTCCATCCTTTTTGTCTAGTCTCGTCACACGTTGAGTCAGTATATTTTTGAGCCTCAAGGATCGCCTGATGAATTTTCACTCCCTAATATCAGAGTTTGTTTGAATATAGTCCGTGTTTACCAGTACACCGTGCACAATGATATTTTTTCCTCCGAAAAACTTCCCGCGGGATTCTTTAGGGATTTTCTGAATGAGATTGCGCTCAGAATACTATATGCCGGGCAGTATTCTTACGTTCCCATCGGATTCCAGTAAATGACTAGCTAGCAGGACATACTCTACGCCGATAGCATTCTTAAGTAGCCTCGGGTGATTTTGATGCTAAGAGTCCTTTCTACGAGTGAGCCACGTGACGGTCAAAGACTCTATTTTAGGAAGTTCAAGCTTTTTGTTTAATTCACCCCAGAGCATCCTGTCATTTTTGTCCTGCAAACTGAGAGGAAGGTCAGGGTTGTCTTTGAGGTTCATAATTACGAGAGAGTCATCATGAACCATTATTGTTTTCCCAGGTTTTCCGGTGAGTTCAGGTTCAGCACTCTGTTGTTTGGAGGTCGAAGCACGTTTCTTAATCGTAGGCTCTTGATGGCCGGACGGATGTTCTTGGGTATAGACTGTGCGGCCAAGTCATTAGTTGATTTCCGTACAATACTTGGGGTGTTCAGCTTAGACGGTGACGTCTAGTCATTTTTAGCCCTGTTAACGAGGGTCCAATCACCTACAGAGTTTTTGAGAACCACTGTTGCATTCAAGGACTTTGTACTGGAAGACCCAAGTTTGCTGAGGGAGTGCATAACCGTCGACGTAATGATGGTGCTGAGTTTCAGCATGTCACCACAAGTGCTATTGCATGCCCCATCGATATTAAACCTGTCGACATCCCTATTCTTGTTTTCATTGAGCGTCCTTGCTTGTCTACCCGTTGTATGACTGACTTTTTCCAAGTTTGCTGACAACTTATTCCGCAGATTTGTTAATAAGACAATGCTGTCACTCAGCAAAAATACAGCATTCATGTTGCACTTAACACATACCTACTTATGATCGGACTTGCTGAGTTTGTTGTAGGCAGTTGCTGTGAGATCTGTGCACGCTTGATGGAATCAACCTTTGCAATTATCGCACTGTATGCCAGATGTAACAGCGAAACGGCATCCAGGTCGTTCGCACGAATTTTTCATGACTTTATTGACGTAAGCTGTATTATAGATGATAGCAAAGGTATAAGACCGTTAAAAACACACTAAAAAGCACACTAAAAACGGGCAAGAATGGATAAAACGGGTTAGGAAAAATTGAAACTGGCCTTTACGTGAAAAACTGAAAAAACCGAATAGTAAGCTATAGCAAAACCATAGTTAAATATTAAATGGGGTGAAACTGAAAAAAAGCAATCTACCAAACGTATAGCACAGAAAAGATTCTTTAGATCAGAAATGGTACTTTCGTTGCGTAAGAACACAGCAAACGTTTGAGAAATGCAAATAACGTTAGGACTAAACTTCCCTTTCAAAAAGCGTGCAGGTCATCGGAGCAGCCATAGTAACTGGATATGATGGCAGGGTAATCCACATTAGGTCCTAACAGAGAGGTGTGACCTTGATGTCAGATGGTAGGTCACATCATTCCTATC